AAAACTAAATGTTAATTTTGATTTTGATAAATTGAATGTTTATATATTAAAACGTATTAAAACTAATAGTTTAAGTACTAAATGTATAATTTATTCAACAAATTTTGTTTAGGGATACATGATATTATGCATTCGGGTTCCGGACATACTACCGCTTGTTTTATTCGGGCTCTTACTTCTCAGTATTGTTAAACTTTTTGGGTAAATTATTGGATCGCTCACTTTACTTTCACATTTATGCACTTGTTCTCATCAAATTCAAATAAGTTAAATTTTAGTCACTTAGGTTATTTGTAACATCCCAAATCAGGGTCAGTGACTAAATTGTAAATTTTGAAAGTTTTGTGTTCAATTTAGAAATGAAATTTAAAAGTCTTGGGATTTAAGTAAAGAATTTTAATATTGGATTAAATAGCAAAGATGGGTGAACTAAAGGGGAAAAATGGTCTTTTTATGGGAAATATTTTTTATCTTCCTTTTTGAGTATTATAAACGTGGGAAATATGAGAGAGTTCCAGAATTCTCTTCTTCATTCTCTTCTTTTCCACCGTGAAGCCATAAGCAAAGATAAGTTTCTTCATTAGTTGATTATTTGTTCAACTAAAGGTTTGGTTATGATTATTGTATGATAATTAAGCTTAAGGAAAGCTTAAATCATCTTAAAAACAAAGGATGGTGGAATTAGGAGTGATTAAAGATTAAGAGTTTTTGAATGAAATTCTGGAAAAGAGTTCTTTACTCAAATTGGAAGATAATTTTGACTTGTCAATGGTTGAATTAAGAGATATGAAGTGATAGAATTGAATTTAGAACAAGAAGAAAAATTAGTGTGATTCTTGAATTCTATGTAGAGAATTAGATTTTGAAGTTAAAGATGTATTGAATGAGTAGTAATAAGTTTAAGCATGTATATGTAAGTTAAGAATAAGAAAGGGGATGATATATGAAGTGTTTGAGAGGAAATGAAGTAATTTTCGTGTTGAAAAATGATTTCTAGGTTAGGGGGAATCGGTACCCATTCAAAGGGGTACTGATACCCTCTCAAACGACAAAATTCCAGAATGTCATGAGGGTATGGATACCCCCAGTAGGGAATCGATACCCCCTAAAGGGAAATTGTGAATATGGGTTTAATAAGTTCGTTTAAGTTGCTAGTATCCAATTACAAGGTGTAGGTATATAATATTTGCCTTAAAATGTACATTTATGTAGATTCTGAGCATAAGGCAATTTTGGAACATTTGGCAAGTAAGATCGATCAGGGGAAAGATTAGAGATCGAGATTGACTAGTGAGATCAGGTGAGTGCATATTCAATAGTATATGGTATGATGGGAATAAGACTTGCGATGAGTCTATTTCCTGAAGTGTTACATATGAATTCATGATTAAAGGCATGAGTTGAATATGAGTGTATGTATGTTTGATTATCTGAATTGATATGTTTTGTATGTGCCATGTGGTTTATGTAAAAACATGATTAAGTGTTATTAAGAGAATATAAAATAAGTTATGAAATTATAGGAATATAGAAGATAAGTCGAGAGATGTAGGGAAATAGAAATAGATGTTTATTAAGAGTCATAGGAGAACAAATATAAGTAATATGATAATGAAATATAAGACTATGTGAATACATGGTTATGAGATAAAATGTGTAATAATAGGAAAATATGATGAAAGTGAGTTTATGAGAAGTGATATGAACTAGGTAAACATGGGTAACAGTATATGCATAATGGAAACATGAGTTGGACAAGTACATAGTGGTATGATTTATTATGAGAATTAGTATAATGGAGCTATATGAAAAGATTATAATGAATATATGAAATTGAATTAAGTAAAGAGATTAAATTAGTACCTAAATAAATATACTATTAAATGATATATGTTTACAAATACAACATAATTTATAATCTAAGGGAATACAAAGAAATGGAGTAAAGGTAGATAATATGATATCCGTTATTATATATCTATATGATATATGTCATCAGGTAATATGAAAGGACTCTGAAAATTTATATAAGCTATGAGAAAGTGTTCTAGGTGTTTCTATGTGTTATATGAAGCATATATGATCATATTTGAACAAGATAAGATATGTATGTTTATATGAATATCTAAGAAATGATCTAAGCTATATGATATGATATATGTGATTATGTGCACTTTGGGATATATGTTGTATGATATGGATCTATGTAACTACGTGAGAAAGTATATAAGCTATGTGACATGTAAATGTGACTCATATGAAAATGTTCTATGAGTAATTGAACGATGTGTTATGTGAAATGATAAGTATAAAAGAAAATGCCCATGTTATGTGTCTTGAGAGCTAGGGGTATAGTTGGCATGCCAAGAGTCGAGGGTCTACGCGGTCCTTCGGGACATATATGTATTATTTGGAACATGTGTGAAGTCTGGTGAGACACATACTTGATCCTTGGCATATGTATATAATTCTTAAGGAATGATATGTGGTCCTTCGGGATATATATGTATTCTTTGGAACATGTGTGAAGTCTGGTGAGACACATACTTGATCCTTGGCATATGTATATGATTCTTAAGGAATGATATGTGGTCCTTCGGGACATATATGTATTCTTTGGAACATGTGTGAAGTCTGGTGAGACACATACTTGATCCCTAGTATATGTATATGATTCTTAAGGAATGATATGTGGTCCTTATGGACATTATTATATGGAACTACGGTGCAATTCTACGCGGCACTCCGGTGCAATTCTACGTGGCACTTCGGTGCAATTATACGAGCTATGGTGACAGCATAGTGCACAACCTCTATAGACTCACATATCTATAGTTCTCACATGAGTACATGGGCTTTGAAAAGAGAACATAATTTGATATAATGATATGTGTATTTCTCGTGACATGGTAGAAGTGCATATATGTCATGGTGATATGAGATGCTATGTGTTTATATATTATATGATTATAGAAATTAGTAATGTATTGTGGTTTATTAAAATATATATAATATGTTTATATTCATTATATGCTCATATGACGGAATTGAAGTAATGGCAAGGGAATTAGTAAGGATAAACAGGTTAGTGATATGAGAACAATGTATGTGATATATGTATATGATGTGTGATATGATGCGTGCATGATATGGTATATGTGTGATAGGGGTTATGGTATCTGTTACATAATATACATGAATATATATTGATGTATATGTAAATGAGTTGTATAATTTGATAGCATAAAACATACATGCATGATTAGTGGGTATGAATTCCATTAGATGTGTTTTCTTTATGCCTCACTAAGTCATCGACTTAGCGTGTGAGTGTTTCACACGCAGGTTACAGAAAGTGAATATGGAAGCTGTGAGGAGCAATACAGGTCAGCATCTCCCTTACAAGATTTCAGATCAGAAAATAGATAAGTTAAATGATTTTTGTTATTTTGAATATAGTTGGCATGTATTAATTGATTGAGTTAAATATGCTCTGATCGATTTTGGCTATTGTGGTCAAATTATGTAACTAAACTGCTTTTACTCTAAGGAAAGTTTTAAATTTTCTTTGAATTTTGTCAAGAGTCAAAGTTTGAAAAGTCAATGTGACACCTCGGACTCGTATCCGGGCCGGGTACAGGTTGTGGGTGTTACATTATTGATTTATTAAATTTTAGCCACTTACATTACTGATTATTACATTTTATTCACTTGGTCGTTAAGGGTCAGTTTGGTATTGTTTTTAAAAATGACTTTTAAAAGTGTTTTTCAAAAGTACAATTTAAAGTTTAATGTTGGAAATTGTTGTTAAAAAAGTGATTTTGAAAAGAAAAAAGGATAAATTACCGTAATGATCACTTATTTTTTATATTTGACCAATTTTGCTCGCTAAATTCAAAAAACATAAGTTTTGGTCACTTACGTTATTGTTTTATTAAGATTCGCTCATTAGGACATTAATATCGTTAGTTTGATGACGTGACACGTTAATAAAAAGGGTTTAATTTTTATTTTATCCCCTAAACTTTAAATAAAATAATAATGAGTTATTTTTTTTTACAAATCTAAAATAATTTAAGGATAAAATTTTAATTTTACAATAACACCTTAAGAATTTTTAGCATTGAGATATTAAATTTATAATGTTTATATGACAGTTCTTGGTAGAACTAATAATTACATACAAATATTTTTAAGATTCTCTTACTCGATTGAATATGCATGCAAACTCATATAAATTAAATGTTTCAATCCTAAACAAATAAAAGTTCCTAATGTAATTATAATTTTTAATAAAAATTATAATTTAATTATATTCATATTAAAAAATTAATCTAAATAATAATAAATGATTAATTATGGATAGATATTTTTATATTTATTTAATAAGAATAATATAATTAATGGTGTATTTTAGAGTGCGACGCGTGATCTAGACTCATCTATTAATACTATAACAATCGATATCCATTAAAATGGAAAAAAAATAAATTTAACACACTTAAAAATTGGAATTAAAATTACGAATTTAGATTTATTACAACTCATTTAAGTCATAATTTAAAGATTAAATTAGAAAAATTATAAAATTTAGGGTAAATTATGAATTTAGTACCTAAACTATAAGTTTTGATCCGTTTTAATATTTAAACCTTTAATTTTTTTCAAAATCATACCTAATTTTTAGTTCTTATTTCATTTTAATACCCCACCATTAGATATTTAACACGTTTAGTACCTAAACTATCAGTTTTGATCTGTTTTAGTTCTTAAACATTTGATTTTTTCAAAATTTAAGGTTAAATTTTGAATAGGGTACTAAAATGAAACAAAAACTAAATTTTAGGTATAGTTTAAATTTTAGGTATAATTTAAGGTCTGTTTTAGAAACTAAATACGTAATTTGCCTTAAAATTTAGTGATTGTTTAGTACTTTTTACCTTTTTACGGCTCTTTCTGAAGTGAAAAATTAAGAGAAAAATCGCACTGTTAAATCCCTCAGGAAAAAGAAAAGGCATGTTTTAGTATGTAGAGGATTTTTCTTCATATTCAAATCGTTTGAAAAAAAAAGGAACCAAAAATGGAATCAAGTTGCCCGTCAACCCCTCGCTGGAATCTCGACAGACCTTTTCTCACCGGCCGATTTCATCAGGTTCTTCTGTTCTCCCTCTCACTTTCTCGAGAATCAATCGGAAAGAAGGAACTTGCGGTTCCAAATTTCCTCGCATTTTTAAAAATCTACAGCCTTCATGGCTGTCTACATTCATTTTACAAAAAAAAAAAAAAAGGAACGATTAGAACAAATGGAACGCATTTCCTAAACCTAACAATTCCTTTTGCTCTCTTATCGTCGTCTATTTCAAGTTAATGTAGCTTCTTCTTAGTTGTTAATGGTAGATTAATGTTTCTCCCAGGAAATAAAGGGGACATCTCGTTTGGCAGCTGATGGGAAGGGTTTTCCTTCGGATTCGTTCAGGTATTTAATCTTCGTTTCGCTTTTTATGGATTTTCTTATTTTAGCTCTATTTTTAAGCTTAATCTTTTTGTTTGTGTCCCTAATCAGCTCTGGATTGGAAAATCCAATCGGTTGTTACGATGCTGCGGTTCAGGTATTCTTTACTTAAGCTTAAATAATGCTAGTTCCTGCTCAATTACCTTTATTGTTTTAAAAGAAAAAACTGATGTTAAAAATATTGGATCCATAGATTATTTTTTTGTACATTTTTTAATCGATTAATAAGTAAACTGAACTTGCAATTTTACTTGCAATTTTTTCCTGATGTAGAATAATTATGGTTATATTATTAGAGAGTAATGAGTTTGCTATGAAAGATGTACAATGTGTTATTTTAATATCTGTGATGAGCTGCGCTCTACTGACTGAGTGAATACCCATGCCGTTAATGTTGGTCTGATTAGCTTCTGTTGGAACTCAGTTTTAGTTTCATTTATGAAAATTTAGACAACCTGGTAGTTTTTGGTCGCCAACAGAATTATCCAATCTTCTGTTGATTAATCTTATATGTTTGTGGCACTTGCTGCTAATGAGTTGAACTGTTGTCTTTAAACCAGTGCCTCTTTCTTGTTTTGCCCCTTTCGTATAAGCCTAAACTGTTTTTTATTTCTAGTTTACATGGAGATGGGTGAAAATTATGAGCTCTATGAGATTTTGGGGCTGCACATTTTGGAGAAAAAATGCAGCGTTTCAGATGAATTTTCTTTTGTTTTATTCATAAAATTGTTTTGAGAGCAGATGTGGATCTGCATATGGATGTATTTTCTTTGTTATGTGCATTAGTCTTATTCTACTTCACGTGGATTGTACTTGCAACTGTTGACTTATAGTTTTGTTCTATTTCTATCAATTTGTTGTAATCTGTGAAGATCTGACAAATAGTGTAGGTATTAATTGTTTAATTTGGTTTGTAGGAACTTATTGTCATTGATGATCTCCTTTTTGCATTGGTTGGAATTGAAGGACGATATATTTCAATCAAACGAGTGCATGGAAAGGCTGATGTTAGTTTCCAGATTGATGCATCCATGGATTTAGCACTTCAGGTTAGAAATTTTCTTCTGTTGGCACTAACAAGTACTCAGCTACCCTTTGTGGCTGAATTACTTTTGCTCTGGAAATTTTCTGTTACGGTCATTGAAAAAACTCGACGCAGTACCTTGCTGCTATAAGTGCTTTTTGATCATTCTTCATTAAGCATGACAGGGACTTGCATTTTAGCATTGATTCAATTTCTTAAAGTAAAGAACCTCTAGTAGCAGGCTACTTGAGCATGGGTTTCTTTAGGGACTCTTCAAGCTCACTTGGTTTAGAGTCCAGATTATTGAAGATAAATTTTTTTTTTTTGATAGGAATTGAAGATAAAAAATATATTCCTATAATTAAAAATAATTCCCCTAAAAACTATCGATAAATTAGTTCCATGGAGTATTTTAGTTAGGAGTATGATGGGGGCCATGTTTGATAATTTTTTTGCCTATATGAACAATTGATAGGATGGTGTTGCAAATGTATCATGTGTGATTTTCTCAGGTGCCTCTGAACAATAGTTAACTGATCGAGATCACCATTGCAGGAATTAGCAAAACGGATATTTCCTTTGTGTGAGAGCTTTCTGTTGATTGATGAGTTTGTAGAGTCCAGATCTCAGGTCAAGAATGGCCTTGTCAATCATGCCTTTGCTGCTGCATTGAGGGCACTCCTTTTGGTAGGTTCTTTAGGCTACAATTCTTTTTTATTAGATAATATTGCATTGTTCTTCTGTAACATTTCTTTCTATTCAAAAAGTGGTCCGACCTTCTGTCCTTTACCATCATTATAAACATTATTATTTATTGCAGTGGCTATTATTGTCTAATTCGCACACCTTGGTTTTCTTTTTCTATAGTTTTTTCTTTTGTCAAGCAGATCATTATATACCAATTGAGTTGTGACTGTATTCAAGGTGCAGGGTTGCTAGTTTATTTGACATAGATGTTCGCAATTGATAAATGATGGGCTTTTTCTCTTGATGCAATGATATGATGGGATTTATAGTTGGAAAATGCATCATCTTTCACGTTTTTAAAGCCATTGAGAAAATAGGACTCTGAGGTTTTAAATAGAATTGTAGAGAAAATTCCAACTCCCTTTGACATTTTTTATGTCTCTGTCAATTGAAACCTATAGTTCCCTGGTCAGTAGAATTTTTAGGTAGGATGTTAGTGGTTTGTTTATCATATTTCTTATTTTGTATGACTTTTCCGTTAAATAGTTTCATGATTTCTCTTTTGACAGTCTGCATAATCATTTCCTCGCTATCTGTCAACTTTCTTGATCAGGATTATCAGGCCATGGTTGCACAGCTTGAACACCAATTTAGACTTAGAAGACTTTCTATTCAAGGATTGTGGTTTTATTGTCAGGTTTGGCTCTATTCTTAATTCTTTTGTTTTTCTAGAATGTACCACTAAGGATGCTTACTTCCATGTGTTCGCAGCCCATGATGGGCTCCATGCAAGCATTGTCCACTGTGATAAGGAAGGTTTCAGCTAATAATTATGCAGGTTCTACAGTGCTTAATTTGTTGCAGAGCCAGGTGAGATGTTTTGTAGTTGGTTTATGGAGGAAAATTTATTTATTTTAGTCTTTTATTATTGCATTACAACTTAAGAGATGATGTTTGTTTCTTTTGTCCAATTTTCTTACTTGATTTCAGGCTAAGGCTATGGCCGGTGATAGTGCAGTGAGGTCATTGCTGGAAAAAATGACCCATTCTGCTAGCAATGCTTACCTTAGCATATTGGAAAGGTACCCCCCCTGTACCCTGTAATGACTGCAGCATATCGGGTTTTTGTTACTTATGCATAAATGTCTGTAATCTTCAAGAGTTTTTACTTCATCTTGTTATGTTAAGAATGTCCTGCATGATTGTGTATCTGATTCTGCACACTATTTTTGCAACAAAATATATTATAGTTGGGGAGTGGAAAAATGTGTTTCTGAGGTATTTTTCTCAAAGAAACATCAACTAATATGGAATGCTTGTCAATTATTTCACTACTATCTATATATTTTCATTGTTATAGGATTAGGGAAAGCAATCTAAAATGACAACAAGAAAACTTGAATATCAGGCCTGACTGACTTGGCATGTTTGGATGAAATAATTGAAAAGATTTGCTTAAAATATGGGTATCTGGTGAGGTTCGTGGTTTATGCTGGGGGTTGTGTTGGTTGAAGTCTTGGCGTTCTGAGAAAGAATGAGTGCTAAGCAGACTAATAGCGTTTTTCCGAACTCACATGTGGTCTGTATCTGAAATGATAGAGTTGCTTTGTTTAGTCTGGTCCTGTGTGTTTGAAAGTGTTAGTAGTTAGCTTTCTTTATTACCATCCATGTCACGTTCTATTTACACCCTTCGTATAGAAATGAGTTAAAATTATGTCAAACATCCTATGGCTAGTAATTGAAAATTCTCCCCGTCACTAGGGATGATAAGTATTGGTTGACTGAACATATTACATGTTGCAATTCTCACAACAAAATTATGGTTGCAAGAAGACTATGTTCCACTTTACTGGAGAAATTCAAGTCATTGATAACATGGAAATTTGATTTCTAAAGTAAACTCTGATCATTCTAAAAAAAGTAATTTTATTGACTAGTGTCTTGTTTTTGAATCAAGGCTCTATTCTTCAGGAAAAGTTGCATATTTGGATTGGCATTCAATGCTTATGCATTTACGATCTATTTCTTAGGTTGATCTTGAGGCATCTATCTATAACTTGTATCTAGCCTTTTTAGATTTAGATGCCTGGAAATTGAATACAGTTTATGAAGACCTACAATGATTTTCTTACACATTTGTTTACGATCTATTTTTAAATTTTTTTAAGATTTAAATGCTTGGAAATTGAATACAGTTTCTAGAATAGGTATTTAGGAAACTCATCTTGTTAAGTCTTAAAATTATGACTAAGCTGGAATGCCACGGGAAATATCCATATCTGAATTCAATTCATGATAATTGAATTGTTTATTATCTAATTGAATTTTAATATTATTATCTAAATTCTAATCTGAATGAGATATAACCATTAACCATCTGTTGAAATACTCAATTTTTTACATTTCTTTTACATAACAAAAATATAAAATCAAAGAAGAAAATATTCGATTATTTAAGTCAATTTCTTTCTGTCAAAATAATGGTATGAAAATCTAACAATAATTAAATTAAAATTCAAGTTTACACACAGCTAACGACAAACAACTTTTAAAATGCAACAAACAAAAAGCTTAGATGATAAAAATCCAAATTTGAAAATAAAAGCAACCATAAATTGATTAAAAAAAACAGTAAACTAAAAATGAATTTGGATACTGACTTTCTCTGAACCAAAACCAAATTGGATTTGGGTATTGAATATCCTAAGGTTACTGCCTGAATCCAACATGGGTAGTAAATGTTCTATCTGAAATGTTATCCAATTATAAGGGACCCAAATCCAAAATTAGTTAAATCAGACTATTTCCCTACTCCATTTTTCACTCCATTCCTATGCCTACTTTATAGTTTGATCAATGTGTTCAACATAAAAAATACCATTAATTTTGCCTAGTTTCTTTCCTACTGAAGAGTTGTAGGGCTTTATGAAGCATTATAGTTAAATTAATCATCATGGGTGTTTTCCAACAAATAGGTGGATCTATGAAGGAGTAATTGATGATCCATATGGTGAATTTTTTATTGCCGAGAATAATTCTCTTCAAAAGGTATATTGTTTCTGTCCACAGTAATTTGTGCTTCAATTTTGAGGTTATTATGCTTATAAATTTTAGGTTTTGTAGGAGAGCCTTACTCAAGATTACGATGCTAAGTATTGGAGGCAGCGCTATAGTCTTAAGAAGGACATTCCTAGTTTCCTTGCAAATATTGCGGGTACAATATTGACTACTGGAAAATATCTAAATGTCATGAGAGAATGTGGGTACAATGTTCAGGTTTGATTCTATAGAGACCTCCTTTGTCCTCCCGTTTGCTTTGTGACATACTGCTTACTAGATGTTATTGTAGGTGCCTGTGTCTGAGAATTCTAAATTAATGACTTTTGGATCCAACCATCAATACCTTGAGTGTGTAAAAGCTGCTTATGAATTTGCCAGTGGTGAACTCTTAAGCCTTGTCAAAGAAAAGGTGAGCTCGATGAGTTGTTATTACTTAGTAACTTGCAAGCAAATCTTAGTGTTTTTATTTGTTTTTGTCATCCATTAAGAGAATTTTCTGATTTTGTCTGATGGCTTCCTTGCTACCGTTGTAGTACGATCTAATAGGAAAGTTGCGGTATATAAAGCACTATCTTCTTCTTGACCAGGTAAATATGTTAAATATTTTATACTTTGGGATGGAAACCCATCTTTATTTATGTATAGACTTGGTTGTGAGTGTTGGATACAGGCATGGTTGGACTTTTCTGAGTTTTTTTCATGTATTTGGAGGATCCTTGGAGGTCATAACCCAATATCCATGTGTTGGAAATGAGTGTTAGACATGGGTACTTCAAGCAACATAGGAGATGCGGACCATTTTTTTGCAGACCACTTTACAGCTTTTGATGAATGTGCATGTCATTGCCAAGTTTTCAATAGCCTTATGCAGTTCATGCTTGGCATTCAGTATTCATATAGGTCAAGCTGTGATTTGGTTTATCTTATTGTTAGCCAATATTTAAGCCACATTGTGACCATTTCTGACTAGTTCTTTGACATCATCAGTACTTAGTTCAGCTTTGTAAAACTCAAAACGCCAAAACCATAATTGTTCCTGTGCACGGTAGCAGTGGTAGTCACTTTCTTTTTTCAATTTTTTTCTAATCTTTTTTTTGATAAGATTTGAAGGCCTCGTTAATAACCTCGTTCAAAACGCCAATTTTTTTCTAATCTAGTTTAGGTCATTGCTGCAATCTGTTTTGTGTTTATAGTTGTTAGACTAGATTCAAATTAAGATTGAAAGAAGAAAACAAATATACTTGATGCAAGTTTTGAGTCATTTTGGGTTGGTGCTGGGGTTGAGTCATGTCTGGTTTGCGTAGGAATTGGGTTGATCCTAGTTAGTCTGAACTTTTCCAATTTGCATGGATGATGTCTGTGGGTTTGCTGATCTTTCAGGTTGGTTCATCTTTTATTATCGCAAGGTTTTGCTTGGTCAGAATAATGGAAATGGACAAGGATGAAAAAACTTTTAATCCAATAGTTAAAGTTACAAAGTAAAAAAGTGGCTAGGGTTAGACCCTAAGAAGATAATAGGAAAAAGAAAATACAGGTGTTTGCAAAACTGATAATATAATATTGGTGGCAATGAAAAGGTGTAGTTACTGACCGGAGATATAGTTGGTTTTCTGGACAAGTACTGACTTGGCATCTTAGGGAGGGACTGATAGAAGTGAGGGATGAAAGTATTTTTGATAGAGAGCCGGAGTCCAAGTGGGGAGAGACAAAAGGAAAATAAAGGCAGTCTCAAATAGTTCCTGTATGTTCTGGCTTTATATATTAAAATCATTTCAAAATTGAGTTCCTTCATGGAATGATCATGCAAACACAGCACTACATTTTGGAATTTTAGGATCTAGATAAATTTTCTATTCTTATTCATTTCCTACATTTAGAGAGATTGTATATTGTTGCATGATATACATATGTTTTCATAATGGTTTATGTAATCATTCTAATTCAGGTGCTATCAAATTGCAGGGTGATTTTTTGGTTCATTTTATGGATATAGCTCGAGAGGAGCTCTTGAAAAAGCATGATGAGATTTCTGTGGAGAAACTGCAGGTTTTTTTTTTTCTTTCCCCTTTTTCTTTGATTACACACCATATGAGGTGCATGTGACAATACATTAAATAAACTCTAGCAAATTTGAAAAGGAAACTGCAAATAAATGTTATTAAAAGGGCAGGCCATCTGACTTATGAATTTATTTCTCTTTAACCATTTTTCTTGAATATGTAGTCTCTGCTGGATCTAGCTTTGCGTACCACAGCTGCTGCTGCAGATCCTTGTCATGAGGACTTAACATGCTGTGTGGTCAGTGATTCCCCTGTTCTTAATTTCTTTTTTATGGGGAAACTTGGATTGTGTGTGTATATATATATTGTTTAATGTTTTAACTCTCAGGAGAGATCTTCGGTTCTCAAAGGATTGAGCAGACTGAAGGATCTCGACATCAAGAATGTTTCTCATAGTAATGATCTCCAGGAGCCAATAAGCATTACTGGTCTTGAGACATTTTCCTTGAGCTATAAGGTATGCTTTTCTTGTTGATGCTAGTGTACAATGTCTATTCTTGAACGAGCCTTCGAATGTAATAAGTTAATTAAAGGGGCCTAGTAGCAGGGAGTGTAGCCATGTCTGGCGAGTCTCTTGGATGATGTGATTTCTTGAGGTTTATATGTTCTACTAAAATTATGTTTGGTTCCTCCAATATTTTCTGGACTTTGTTTAACCTTCTCTATCAAGTTAAAATAGTCGATTGTAAGAACTACATAATCTAAATGGTAGTTTCTCAGGGTAAGCATGATTTAGTTTGGTTAAGTTCAGTGGTAAAAACTAAGAATTTGTTTTCTAACTTTTTGAAACAAAACCAAATCATATTATAATGAAAACCAAGTTGAAGTAATTTAGTTTGCGTTGGTTTCTTATTGGTATTTTACTAAATAAGCCAAAAAATAAATGAGTTAATTTTGCATTCAAATAAGTAATATTTAAGAGAGTCCTCAATTCAAGTCAAACATAATTAAAATACAAAACAAGAGTCCTAAGTTCCTATTCAGTGAATGGCTTTGGTGTACTGGGTATTCATTTTCATCCCATTTCCCCAATATTAGTCTTGCAACAGATGAAGCCTAAATGTGCTACTAAGAACTGAATTTGTAGCATCATAAATAGAAACTAGTCCATATAAAACGTTTTAGAAAACAAAGTAAATAGTAGTACATAACATATATGGTTCAACTAAAGTTTGATAAATAACCTTTTAAAAGGAAACCCAGAAATTGAACTTACAATTCTAAATGAAATAAACATCTGTTGTGTGTGTGGGCATGCATTATAAATATTATTCTCAGTTTTCTCATTCAGTTTCCTTTCAGGATTTTTGAAAAACTAACTGAAACCAAATTATTAATCCAGTTTTTTTCAAACCAAAAATGAAACTATTTACCCCTAAACCAAACCAAACTAGATCAGTTGTTTCTTTGTTTTTGACCAAATGTGCTCTGCCCCGGTGTTTTTTTTTTCTTCCCTTTTCTGTTTATACTTGGTGAGTGGAAACTTCTTATATTGTAATCCATTGCTATATCACTTTTACATCATTTCATGGTGCAACCATGTATTTTCATCCTTCTGCTCATGATATTTTGTATGTTTTCAGATTCAGTGGCCACTGTCAATTGTCATATCAAGAAAAGCTTTAACAAAATATCAGTTGATTTTTCGCTTCCTTTTTCATTGTAAGCATGTGGAACGCCAGCTTTGTGGAGCTTGGCAAATGCATCAAGTATGGACTTGAACTTATTGATGAATTCTGGTGACTTTTTATGTGTTTGTTATATGTTATCCAATAACTTGAACAAATTTTGTAGGGAGTTCGTGCTCTCAATTATCGTGGGACTGCTGTCTCTAGATCATCTCTCCTCTGTCGTAGCATGCTGAGATTTATTAACAGTCTTCTGCATTACCTAACATTTGAGGCAGGTTTCTTTGTATCCTTTTCACCATAGCTGCTCTGAATACTTTTGTAAAGCCTAGAAGGAAATGCACATCAAGTCAAATGAATCTTATATGATACATGGTCGTTATCTTCATTCCACTTTCTTTCAGTTTTGGTGCATAACTGAACCTCCGTTTTTCTTTACTCTGGGAAATATCTGCATATGTGGTAGTCAAAGCCACTAGCAAGATGGACTTTGGGTTTTGACTCTGAGCATTGTCAAAGAAACGGGACATAAAAGGACGAGGAATAAAATATGAGCTTAGATTAGGATGTTCATTTAGTTGGCTCGGTATCTTTTGGTAACGTGTTTTGGAATCCTTCTTTTCAGGTCCTTGAACCCAATTGGCATGTGATGCATGGTAGACTCCAGACTGCAAAAAGCATTGATGAGGTATGATACTAATTAGACTTCTATATGCTGTGCATATTTTATTGCATCGCTAGTTATGTTTGAACATCCTTCTGTTTGTAACAGGTTATCCAGCATCATGATTTTTTCCTCAATAAGTGTCTGAAAGAATGCTTACTTCTTTTGCCTGAATTGATAAAGGTTTGTTGCTTCTCATTTATCAATACTTTTGGGACAGCTTTTAATAAAGTGGCATGCTTCTCTGTTGCTATTAGTTAGACTAAAATGATGCTTCAGAATTCCATTAGAGTTGAATAAAAAATGGTAAATGAAGCATATTTCAATTTTCCAAGTGAAAAACTGAATTCGGAAATATCCTAAGAAGTTGAAATAGCCCATGAATACACAAGATTTGATTGTGGGAAATTCACTTTCATTTTTTTTACCGTCACAGAAAATGGAGAAGTTGAAATCATTATGCCTACAATATGCAGCAGCAACACAATGGTTAATTTCATCGTCTATCGATATTCCCAAGTTAGATGTGCAGTATGATGGTTCTGGTGGGTCCGAAAAGTCCAAGCAGTGGAAAACAAAGAATCCATATCAGGGTCAAAAAGTCATGACTAGAAACTCAGCAGTTACTGACTCCATTCTGTAAGTGTGGAGAATGTCTATACGATTACGTACATGTCTCTCGTCACACTAATTTTAAGTAATACATTGCAGTAAATTCGAGAGGGAATTTAATGCCGAGCTTCAGAGTCTGAGACCAATTTTGAGCAGCAGTTCTCAAGTAGAACCATATTTGACACATCTTGCAAAGTGGCTACTTGGTGTTGGAAATGATCAGTAAGTTCAGAATTCGTTAGTCTTGTAAATTTATTACAAGATTATATACAGTTATAAGAAATGTAAATCTCTTTAGTCACGCCTTTTATGATAAATGTGCTTTAGGGTAGGGATTATTGCGTGTTGTGATTTTACCGTATCTTTGGTTTTTCTATATCTTGCATCTCGTTCTTCGTTGCAAAAGACGAGACGGGTGGGGCCGGGGCTCATAAACGTTAACGAGAAGTGAGATTCAGGATGTATGTTCTGAATCTTGTTTGGTTAACAAGGCATTTTTTAGGTCTCTAAATTTGACAAAACAGTTGAGTGTATATTAAACAAACTGTACCATGTTGTAAACTTTGAGGCATGGAAGACGCATTTAAGGTCTAGTGTTGTGATTTCCTCTTATATATCTTTTGCCTCTTTTCCCCCATTTAGTCTAGAGGGTAGCTTACTTTTTCTGGGTATAATCATCGGTGTTCGAGTCGATTAATCTGACGATTAATCTGGATCGAGTATTGTAGAGGTGGGATTGAAACTATAAAAATGGGAAGCAAAGTTCAGTGTATATGAGTAAGAAGGCAGTTTCTGAGTTTTCCTGTGATTTAGGGTAAAAACCTTTAATGACCAGAATAATAGTGAGAAGAAAGTGGATGATGAAATTTGTAATTTACCCTAAAAAATCCATTCAAAATCTCTTAACTGCGACAAACAATTTAAAATACCACAAATCTACAATTTATTTGGAATTTAATGGATATCATACATCCACACAATTTATATGAGAAGCAATTTTCACCCAAGTGTTTATAGAACTTGCAAACATAATTCATGCAGGTATATTGAACGTTCATTGCATAAAAATATAGGAGAATTTGAAATTTTCATGGGGATGACCGTCTCACCTGCCCCTGAGGTGCAAAACCATATTCCAGGCACAACATGACAACACAGAAACAACGGTAAATAGCATAAAATCAAAGCTTGCATGAATTTCAATAGTGAGCTAATGCTGCTATAATCATCAAATCTGGGTTAAGGCAACGATATATTCTGTAGTAATATAGTTTTACCCTTGACCAAACATCCCTTTTGGACCAGTAGTGTACTTTCTTCCCCTGAGTCTGTTTTGCCTCTACTTACTTTACATCACCAGCCTGCGAACTACCATTCATTTTAGCACGTTTAGCTTCCGCATCTTTTGCAGCTGCCTTGATTGCATCTTCTGCAAGCATGCTGCAGTGAAGCTTAAAGGGTGGAAGCGAAAGATGTTTCGCGATCTCACTGCAGTTTTACATAGAACATCGTGACAAATTTGCAGTATAGCACGAGCACATTTGATTGAAAGGAAATTTTCTATCAAAAAAAATTAACGAATTGAACCGTTGGTAACAAAAAGATGAACAAAGACTGGTATACACGCTAGCACCGCCCTCGAAACTAGATGGGAATACACCAGCACCTAAGCATTAGGCTCAACAGATGGTAAATGATCCCCACTTCCCCAACTATAAACAAAGGGGAAAGACCAGTTGGCTAAACATGAAAGCTATGCATATTCTATGTGATCGCCTTAAAAGTTAAATTTGGATGTTACCTATTTAGACAACCATATAATTACAGTTTATGCCTACGCATGTTGCAGTGAAAAAAACTCACAATGACATTGAATATTTCTTCTCATGAATAACTGTATTTATTATATTGACCCTATTGAATCATAGTTAAAACCATAATCTGAAGATCAACTAGACAAAATGCTCAATAGAAAAAAGTTAGACGACGCTATAGCCTTTATGCTCATAGAGAATAAAGAATTGATTGTATATTCTAGAGATTAAAGAATACCCTAGACTTACTAAAATGAATTCTGACTGAGTTAAATTTTTTTTTTTTGAAAAAAAAATGAATTATGACCGAGTTAGGTTGGATTTTTTTAAGGGTTGAGATCGAGATGCAACGATTCAAGTGAAAGGTGAAAAAACTCCGATTCGAGGATAATAATGTAATTTCCTTTCAAAACTTTATTACTTTTTAATTAAATTCTTATTTTATACCGGAACGGGTCAAATCATATCTATACACTAAAAATTCAGGTTGGGTTAAAGTTAAGTGAAGAGTACATATTTATGGGTCGAGTCGAGTCAAAACAAACAAAAAAAATAAAAGGCTCAAAACAACGATCAGACCAAATCAATAACGAGTTAGCTAGAATTAACAATTAAAGGACTAAACTCGAATGAATCAATAATGTAAAGGTCTAACCGCACTTAATTTTTGAATCAGTGACCAGAATCAATCAGACCAAAAAATAAAGAGGACTATTTTAATAGTTTGTACAGAAAAAAAAAATCAAAACCGGCAGTTCGTTGGACAACAATCTAAAACGAACATCGAAAACACAAAAATGAAAAGAGAGCATAAATTGCATGCATAGTTGTAAACTCCCAAGACAAATTAACAAAATTTCATCAGTCTCCCAATTTAAAGCCAAAAATACAAATGTTCCTCAACGCTCAAAATAAAAGGCTCTTTTGATCTCCTGCAAGGCAAAAACACAACAGAATTAAGTGAACCCATCTTTGGTGGCAAGCAAGTAGAAATAATGGCAAGTCCTGCATTAAAGTCCTAATGTTCAACCGCATTCAAACAATCTTTATCAAAACTGTTCAAAAAGTTATTAATCCATAGCATAACTCACGCACGACGCTTAAAGTACAAAAAATGTTCCCAAACTATACTCTTTTTTAACTTAAAGAATCTAAACTAATTTTTAGTCAAAATAAATCTCTAAACCATTATATGTGATACTAGGGGTGTTCAATCGGTTGGTTCGGTTAACCGACCGAACCAAACTAGCCTAAAATCATAAACCGGAATTTTTCTACCGTTAACCGAACCAAAATCTTTCGAAATTTTTTTAACCGAACTGAACAAAGTACGATTAATTCGTCAGTTAACCGAATTAATCGGAATTTTAAATAATATATATTATACATTAAATATTCAACATTTTCAGTTAATCCGGTTGGTTAATTCGGTTAAATCTCAAATTTAAACACTCATAAAACTAAGTAATATATAAATAATCTAAATAATATATTAAAATTTAAAAATTTCGGTTAATTAACCGATTTGGAACCAAATTAACCGGAAACTAAATTTTGGAAAAAATCACTAACCGTTAACCGACCAAACATAAAATTAACCATCGACTAACCCAAAAAAATTTGGTTCAATTGGTTTAATCGGGTTTAAATGATTAATGTACACCCCTATGTGATACTTTAGGTCCTATCACTTTTTCAGTTAAAAAATTCTCTTTTTTTTGACAATAAGATGTTGACATGTCACACAAAATTAAGTATTTGTTTTTAACAACAAAAATAATTTGGAGGGTTAAAGCAAAAAGACAGCATAGTTTAAGCACTTATTTTGACCAAAAAAAAATAGTTTAGATATTTAAAATGGTTTCATATAATAGTTTAAGAAATTATTTTAACTAAAAAATAGTTTAAGGGCTTAAAAGAAAAAGAAGAAGATATAGTTAGACTTATTTTTAGTTTAAGCCTAATAAAAATAACAAACTACCCACAGGGAATGCATGGTTGATGGAACATCATTAAATGAAAAAGAAAAACTAAGAATATTGCTTGTGAATAGCCTTACAAGTCTTAACGCCTTTGTGTCTTTCCAATTGAACGTTTCCCAGAAAACAGGTGCTTTGGTTTCAATGTTGGAATAACCCTATCAGCCTCTCCACGACGAGCATTCTTGTTCCTCTTCTTAACAGATTTCTTTGCCAATTTGATCGCCTTAACCTTTTGAGTAGAATCCTTCAAGCCCTCACCAGGTACAAATTCACTAGGAGGCCGTGACCGTGACCTTGACCGAGATGTAGACCTCAAGCATAGCTTTTTGCTTGCTTGGGTGCCATCTATATCCATAGCATCACAGCCATCAGCCTCTCCCCTGTCAACAGACCGCTCCCTTTTCCTGCCCCTTGACTTGCTACGAGCACGATCAATTGCAAGAGAGGGATCCAGACCCAAAGAAGATAGCTGCCTGCCCATTCTCTCTGTTGTGAACTTTCTATCAGTGTCGAACTTTCTAGGAACAATGGGCCGACTTTCTGCTGTGCTTTTCTTCATCCTATGCTGTTGAATAAGCAAGTTTTTCTTTTTCCTAATCTCGGCTAGTGCTTCTTGCTCTTCCGGGGATAATTCTTCGCCATCCATCTCAAACTCATCACCTTCCTCTTCCGCTTGTCGAAGACCCTCTTCACACTCCAGCTCTTCAAGTCTTAACAAGATATCTGGGTCAATAAAGTCATACACATTGTGACCATCAAGAATTTCAGGAAGTATATCCTCTTTCCATTCATCATTTGCCAATAAATAGTGCTTCTTTAAACTAGCAGAGTATACACCAGCACCACCATTCTCCTCCTCCAAATCCTTTTCAGTTTTCCTCTTCACCTCCTCTGCTGCTTGCTTAGCTTTAGCCTCCAAAACTGCCTCAGGTATGCAAGGAGGTCGCTCCTTCTGATCACGTGGTTTCGGTAATGCAACATGAAACCTATTTAGGCAGTCATTTATTTTTTTTGATTTCATCTTCAATTCAACCCTCTGATTCAATAACCTTTCACAAGCTGCATTCTTCACAGCAATCACTCCATCCTCAGTCAAAGCGCTCATAGTCAACAGCACCCCTTCTTCATTTGCAGCCTCACCTCCTTGACCAATCACAGTCTTCATGGCTTCAGATTTCATCTCCTCGACCAATTTCCTGTCTTCCTTGGAAATGCCATCCAATGGCTGCAAATCAGTCTTATTGCAAACAATGATCAAGGGTTTGTTCATAAAGAGAGATTTAATGCTGTGAAAAAGGGCTGCTTGCTGGGCAATGCTGTATCCACATGACCCAGATATATCCAAAAAGAACAACACCGCAGCTCGTAGGTGAGCCAATGCTGTAATGCTGCACATCTCAATAATGTTTCGATCTTCAAATGGCCTGTCCAAAATTCCAGGTGTATCAATTACTTGATACCTCAGATACTTGTAATCAGTATGACCCACAAAGAGCGATTTTGTAGTGAAAGCATAAGGCTGGACATCCACATCAGCCCTGGTGATTTTGTTCATAAATGAACTCTTACCGACATTGGGGTACCCACAAATCAAGATGGTTCGAGTATTGGGATCAATAGATGGAAGCCTTGCCATATGTTGCCTAATCTGCTCAAGGTAAGCAAGACTAGGGCCAATCCTTTTTATGACAGTACACATTCGACCAAGAGCAGCAACCTTGAGCGACTTGCA